GGCTGCTCTGCAATAGAGGCCACCGAAGTCAATTAATCCACAGTACAGACCTTTAAGGCCAACTACTACACAATAGAGGGCAATGAAGTCAGTTACTCCGCAGTAGAGGCCATCTACTTGACAGTAGAAGCCTCTGAGGCCATCCATTCCATAGTAGAGGCCAGCTACTCTACAGTAGAGGCCTCTTAGGCCATTTACTCGACAGTAGATGCCTCTGAGGCCAGCTACTCGACAGTAGATGTCTCTGAGTCCAGCCAATCTACAGTAGAGGTCAGCCATTCTACAGTAGAGGGCTCTGAAGTCAGCCACTTCACAGTAGAGGCCAGCTATTCTGCAATAGTGGCCTCTTAGGCCAGATACTGAATAGTAGAGGCCTCTGAGGCCAGCTACTTTACAGGAGAGGCCTTTGAGACCATCTACTCTACAGCAGGGGATTCTAACGCCAAATTTTGTTTTTTTTTCAAAACTCTAGTAAAAATGGTTTATTTTTAAATATTTTTAAAATTTTAAATATTTTTCAATTCAATATTCTTATAACAACATTTCGTGTTGACTTCTCATTAACTTGACACGACATTCTCCTATCAATGACTACTTGAATATTGAGTTTAATTTTATATTTTTTTTATTTTTGTAAAAAACAACAAATTATCATTGAAGTTCGTCGATTGTTTGCTAGTGTCAAATGGAAGTAAATTCTGGAAATAAAAATAAAATTGTTCGCTGGTTAATGAATCACAGCTGACGATCTAATTTCTCAACACGCTTGCAAAAAAAAACCCGAAACTTCAATAAAAACATTTAATGAATATGGGTGATCAGGTGAGCATAGATTTGAACGAACCAAAAAAAAAAAAAAATGACTTGATATAAATTTCATTGATTTGATTTCCGAAAAAAAAAAACAATTACTTCCCATTAGCCATTAGGTTTGATTTGAAACTCAGTGTAATTCTCAACCAGCACACACATGATCGAAACATATTTCCAATATATATCAGCAACTAGAACAACAACGCACACCGACTTTACCTTGACCACACACCAACAGACAAACATAGATTTTTCGCTTTCAATTCGTGAATTCGAATTGTGGCCTTTATCCGATCCGATCATTTGTCTGTCTCACTGTCTTAATGTCTCAAAATTAGTTACGCCAGAAAATTAAATTCACACACAAAAAAAGTTCGCAATAAATTTAAATTAATTGCAGGTGAACAAAAAAAATGGTTGTTTGAATTCCAAAACTTCCCTTTCGCAGTCATTGCAATTCGGTGTTCCTTCTTCCAAGATCCCGCCACTTAGATAATTTTATTTTAATTAATTGTTAAATATGAGTCGTCTCATTATTTCGGATGTTTTTCTGAATAATGCATTTACAGCGTTCTGCTATTCTGAAAATCTGGGCAATTAATTGCGGGCAAATTTACATAAATTTCTCGGTTTGAGGTGTGCCGTGAAATTAAGTGGCTAATTAGAAGTTTTGAGTAGCTAACAACAAAAGTAAAAAAACAATAAAAAATTTTCAAAAATTCTGACAAGATTAAAAAAATTACCGGAGAAACTAAAATGCAGCTACTCATTACAAGAGGTCTCTCAGATCACGTACTTTTCAGCAGTAACCCCTCAGATCAGCTACTCTATAGCAGAGAATGCTTAGCTGGGCTGGAAAAGTACAGACGTCTCTCAGCTACTTTAGTTTTAAAGTCCTCTCAACTCATAACTGAAATGTAGAAGTCTTTCAAGTCGGCTTCTGAGTCCGGCTACTCGACAGCAGATGCCTCTGGGGCCAGCTACTCTATATTAGAGGCCTCAGAGGCCAGCTACTCTAAAGCAGAGGTCTCTAAGGCCAGCTGCTCTAAAGTAGAGGCGTTTTAGGCCAGCTACTTAAAAGTAGAGGCCTTTGTGGCTAGCTACTCTACGGAAGAGGCCTCTGACGACAGCTACTGCACATTAGATGTCTCTGAAGCCAGCTATTCCACAATAGAGGTAACCTACCTTACGGTAGAGGCTTCTAAGACCAGTTACTCTAGGGTAGAGACCTCTACGGCCAGCTACTGTTCAATAGAGGCCTCAGAAACCAGCTACCTTACATTAGAGGCCAGTTAATTTACAGTAGGGGCGAGCTACTTCGCAGTAGAGGTCTCTGAGGCCAGCTACTTTACAATAGAGGCCTCTGACGCCAGTTACCAGACAGTAGAGTGCTCTAAGGCCAGTTATTTTACAGTAGGAGCCTCTGATGACAGCTACTCCACAGTAAAGGCCTCTGAGTACAGCTACGCTATAGTAGAGGCCTTTGATGCCAGTTACTCAACAGTAGCGGTCTCCGAGGCCAGCTACTCTACAGTGGAGGGCTCTGAGGAAGCTACTTTACGTTAGAGGGCACTATGGCCAGCTACTCTACAGTGGTCAGCTACTTAATAGTAGAGGCCTCTAAGGTCAGCTACTTAACAGTAGAGCCCTCTGAGGCCAGCTACTTTACAATAGAGGCCTTAAAGGTCAGCTACTTTACAATAGAGGCCCTAAAGGTCAGCTACTGTGCAGTAGAGGCATCTGAGGCCAGCTAATCTAAAGTATAGGCCTCTGAGGTCAGCTACTTACCAGTAGAGACCTTAACAGTAGAGGCGTCTGATACCAGCAACTCTACAGTAGAGGCCAGCTACTTTACAATAGAGGCTTCTGAGTCCAGCTACTTTGCAATGGAGGCCTCTGAGGGTAGCTCTAACCTCTAAAACCAGCTGCTATACCGTAGAAGCCTCTTAAGCTATCTACTCTACAGTATAGGCTTCTTAGGCCATCTATTCTACAGTAGAGGCTTATGACGGCTGCTATTCAACAACAGATGCCTCTGAGGCTAGCCAGTAGAGGCCTCTGAGCTCAGCTACTCAACGGTTGAAGCTAGCTTCTCTACAGTGGATTGCTTTGGGGAAGCTAGTCTACGTTAGAGGGCACTAAGGCAAGCTACTCTACAGTGGAGATATTTGAGCCCAGCTACTCGACAGTAGAGGTCTCTGCGACCAGCTACTCTACGATAGAGGCCTCTGAGACAAGCTACTCGGCAGTAGAGGCCTCTGATATCAGCTAAATATTTGAGGCCAGCTACTCGACAGTAGAGGTCTCTGAGGTCAGCTATTTGACAGTTGAGGCTTTAGAGGGCAGCTACTCCACAGTAGAGGCCTCTGAGGCCAGATACTCGACAGTAGAGGCTTTTGAGGCGAGCTACTCTGCAGTAGATGCCTCTACTCTACAGCCCTACTCTACAGTAGAGGCCTCTTAGGCCAGCTATTAAAAAGTAGAAGCCTATTGGGTTAGCTTCTGTACAATAGAGGGCTCTCAGGCCAGCTACTCTACAATAGATGCCTCTGATGCCAGCTTTTCTACAGTAGAGACCTCTGAGGCCTGCCACTCAGCAGTAGAGGTCTCTAAGGTCAACTACTCTACAGTAGAGGTCTCTGATGCCAGCTACAATACGGCCATCTACTTCACTATAGAGGGCTCTGAGGCCAGCTACTCTACAGGAGAGTCCTCTAAAGCCTGATACTCGACTGAAGCGACCTCTGAGACCAGCTACTCAAAAATTCCGAAAAAATAAAAAAACGCAAATATACGGAGTAGAGACTTGTTAGGTCAGCTACTCAGAAGCAAAGGTATCTGAGGCCAGATAATCTAAAGAAGAGGCCTCTGATGCCAGCTACTCTACAATAGAGGCCTCTACGGCGAGCTACTCTACGCTAGAGGCCTCTGAGACCAAATTCACTGCAGTGGAGTCTCTGAGAACACCTACTCGACAGAAGGGCCTCTAAGGGCAGCTACTCGACGGTGGACGCCCCTAGGGCCGCTAGCTAATATAATAGAGCCTCTGAGGCCAGCTACTCTGCAGTAGAGGCTTTTGAGGCACCTAATCTATACTAGAGGTTAGCTACTTTACAGTAGAGCTCTTTGACGCCAACTATTCTGCAGTAGAGCCCTCTGAGGCTAACTATTTAACAGTAGACGCCTCTGCGGCTAGCTACTCAACAGTAGACCCCTTTGGGGCCAGCTAATCTGTTGTAAAGGCCTCGGAGACCAGCTACTCAACAATAGGGAACTCGAAGGCGAGCTACTCTACACTAGAGGTCTTCGAGGCTAACTACTTTACACTAGAGGCCTCTGAGCCCAACTACTTAACAGCAGAGGCCTCTGAGCCCAGCTACTTAACACCAGTGGTCTCTCAGACCAGCTTCTCAACATTGGCGATATTTGAGGCCAGCTATTCGACAGTAGAGGTCTCTGCGACCAGTTATTCTACAGTAGAGGCCTCTAAGGGTAGCCCCTCTGAAGTAGAGGTCTTTAAGGCATCTAATCTACACTAGAGGTTAGCTACTTTACAGAACAGCTACTCTGCAGAAGAGTCCTCTGAGGCCAACTATTTAACAGTAGGGGCCTCTGTGGCTAGCTACTCAACAGCAGAGGCCTTTAATGCCAACTAATCTATTGTAAAGGCCTCTGAGACCAACTACTCAACAATATAGGCCTCGAAGGCGAGCTACTCAACACTAGAGGTCTTTTAGGGCAACTAATTTACACTAGAGTCCTCTGAGCCCAGCTTTTTAACAGTAGAGGACTCTGAGCCCAGCTTTTTAACAGGAGAGGCCTCTGAGCACAGCTACTTAACACCAGAGGCCTCTGAGACCAGCTACTTAAGACCAGAGGCATCTGTGGCCAACTACTCTACACTAGAGGCCTCTGAAGCCAGCTGTTCTTTAGTAGGGGCCTTTGAGACCAGCTATTAAAATTTAGAGATCACTTGATCTGCTCAAGAGTATATGTCTCTCAAGCCAGCTGCACTTTTTTCCTGCATTTTAGATACTCTACTCTTTTAGAGGGAGCTCTGATTCTAGTTGCCTTATTTACTCTGGCGATCTTCAGAGTCCCCAAATTTTTACATTCCCAAAACTTCCTAGTTACCCTGAAAATTTATAAATGTTTTTCCTCTCTCCTCTCTCTCTCTCTCTTTCCAGGGTGACAGCATGGGTTTTAGTTCGCGCATGGACTGCTGCGGGCAGTTCGTCAAGTACAGTTTGTTTGTATCGAATTTTGTGATTTTTGTAAGTAACCTTTACTGGACCTTCTTTGGAATCATAAATTATTTGGAAACTTTTTTTCAGGTTGGTGGTGCCACTGTATTTTGCCTGAGTCTCTGGACCCTGGTCGATCGTAGTTTTATGAATGAGCTGTTGGGTACAAATTTATTTTCCGGTGCCGTTTATGTTCTACTCGTTACCTCCGTGGCCATTTGTTTGCTGTCCTTTTTAGGCTGTGTGGGAGCGGGCAAGGAGGTGAAATGTTTGCTGCTGACGGTAAGGGAGATTCTCTCTCCCCTTTCATTTCTCTTGATTTTTTGTTGATTGAATTCTTCTCTCTTTGTGCAGTATTTCATAATGGTGGCTCTGGTCTTTGTAACCATGCTGATTGGTGGGATTTTGGGTTATGTATTCCGTGAAAGGGTCCAGCAAACCATGCGGCAGGTGAGTTTTATCCGGATTTGATTTTGATTTTTTTTTTATTTTAAAATTTTCTTTTCAGGAAATGCGTTCCTCCATGGCCTTGTATGGCAGTCGCCGTGACATTACCATTGCCTGGGATCAAACCCAAGAACGTCTCCAGTGCTGCGGTGTTGACACCTGGCATGATTGGAATCGTTTTGGTCCCATACCTGAATCTTGTTGCCAGGAGATCTTTGGTGGCCAACGCAAGGAGTGCACAATATTCCCCACCATTACGAATTTATACAATCAGGGTTGCCTCTATGTTACCTCGAATTTTATACGTGATCATGCCGCAGTTATAGGTGGCACCTCCATTGGCGTGGCGATTGTCATGGTGAGAAAAAGAGATCAAATAGTTATTTGAATTTATTTTAATTTGGTTTTTATTTTTTCTCCCCCCCAGATATTTGGCATGATCTTCTCATGCCTGCTGTTCAACATGATTGAATAGTAGTAGCCTGCCGCCGTTAGTCTGAAGAGCTTCTTTTTGTATTTATATCAGGTTAAAAATTTCATTTAAAAAAATCCGTCACAAAATCGAGGAGTTTCACAAAATAGTTTAAGAAATTATATCCGAAAAAAAATTGCTAGAATATCATCATTTATGTCAAATTGGATAGCCAAAGTAAAATTTTCACGTTGGGCGCCACTTGGTTTTGAGAGCTGCGAAAAACATATCGGATCACTTTTTTTTTTAAACATTCCCAAGGCAAATAGTCTTGGATAGATGTTTCCGGAACAAATTAGCTAAGAAAGTTAGAATTGTTGAAAATCTTGATACACGTTGGGCGCCATTTTTGTAAAATGTATTTCTTCGTCAATTTTTTGGAAAAAAACTGCTAAAATAATTTGCAACATTTTTCTGAAATAGTCGCTAATGTCAAATTCGCTAAAAAAAATCTTGATATATGTGGGGCGCCACTTTTGTAAAATGTATTTCTTCACCAATTTTTGGGGAAAAAACTGCTAAAATTATTTGCAAAATTTGTCTGAAATAGTCGCTAATGTCAAATTCGCTAAGAAAATTACAACTGTTGAACATTTTGATATACGTTGGGCGCCATTTATTTTTAATTTATTTCTATGTCAATTTTCTGAAAATTGCTTCTAAAATGATTTGCAAATTTTTTCTGAAATACTCGCTAATGTCAAATTCGTATAGATAAAGGAAATTATACGTTGGACGCCACTTGGTTTTGAGGTCAGCGAACCACACATCAGGTCACTTTTTTTTAAACATTCCGTTGGGCGCCACTTTTGTAAATTTTATTTCTTCGTAAATTTTTTTTGGAAAAAAAACTTCTAAAATTATTTACAAATTTTTTCTGAAATAGTTGCTAATGTCAAATTCGGATATGCAAGGGAAATTTCACGTTGGGCGCCACTTGGTTTTGAGGTCAGCGAACAACATATCGGATCATTTTTTTTTAAACATTTCCACGGCAAATAGTCTTGGATAGATGTTTCCGGCACAAATTAGCTAAGAAAGTTAGAATTGTTGAAAATCTTGATACACGTTGGGCGCCATTTTTGTACATTTTATTTCTTCGTCAATTTTTTGAAAAAAAAACTGCTAAAATAATTTGCAAAATTTTTCCGAAATAGTCGCTAATGTCAAATTCGCTAAAAAATCTTGATATACGTTGGGCGCCATTTTTGTAAAATGTATTTCCTCGTCATTTTTTTTTTGGAAAAATTACTAAAATTATGTGTCAACATTTCTGGAATATTTGTTACTGTCAAATTGTAAGACCTAGGGAAATTTCGCGTTGGGCGCCACTTGGTTTTGAGGTCAAAGAACACAATGGGCCACATTTTTGTTAAATATTCTAAAAACCAAAAGTATCGGAAATATGTTTTCATCACTAATTACCTAAAGAGAGTTTCAATTGTTGAAAATCTTGATATACGTTGGGCGCCACTTTTGTAAATTTTATTTCTTCGTAAATTTTTTGAAAAAAGCTTCTAAAATTATTTGAAAAATTTTCCTGAAATAGTCGCAAATTTTTGTAAAATGTTCTAAAAGCCAATAGTATCGAATATATCTAATTACCTAATCACTAATTACCTAAAGGGAGTGAAAATTGTTCAAAATCTTGATATACGTTGGGCGCCATTTTTGTAAATTTTATTTCTTCATCAATTTTTTGGAAAAAAAATGCTAAAATAATTTGCAAAATTTTTCTGAAATAGTCGCACATTTCTGTTAAATGTTCTAAAAGCCAATAGTATCGGATATATGTTTTCTTCACTAATTATTTAAAATGAGTTACAACTGTTGAAAATCGTGTCATACGTTGGGCGCCATTTTTGTAAAATGTATTTCTTCGTATTTTATTTTTTTTTTTTTTTTTGGAGAAATTACTAAAAATATGTGTCAAAATTTCTGGAATATTTGTCAATGTCAAATTGTAAGACCAAGGGAAATTTCACGTTGGGCGCCACTTTCTTTAAAGGTCAGCGAACACAACGGGCCACATTTTTTTGTTAAATCTTCCAAAAGTAATTACCTTAGGATACATGTTTTCATCTGTTATCACATTTTTGAAATTTGTCACAACTTTTGAAATTTGTGTTACACGTTGGGCGCCATTTTTATGTAAATCTTATTTTTATGTCAATTTATTGAAAAAAAGCCACACAAATTATATTTAAAAAATTTTCTAGAATAGAAGTTAATGACAAATTCGGATAGTCAAAGGAATTTTTACGTTGGGCGCCAATTGGTTTTAATGTCATTGCATGCGACATGGATTATTTTTGTGAAAGAAAAAAAGACCTAAATAGGTTTGGACAAATGTTTTCATGGCAAACTACCCAAGCGAGTTACTCTTTTTGAAATTTTGTATTATACGTTGGGCGCCAGCTTTGTTAATATGCATTTTATACCAAGCATCTATGCAATTTATGAGTAAAAATTTCTAGAATAATCATTTTAGGGATATTTCATTTCACATGTGAGTAAAACGTTGGGCGCCACTTACAGTCAAGTTTTCAAGATTTTCAAAAAAAAATAATTGGTCGCCACTTTTATCAATAGCCACCAACTATATAGACCTAGAATCATTTTTATGACGACTGGGTGTCAGTTCCAACCGTTGGATGCCATTTTCCATTTAATAACATCCAAAATTGTCCCTTCTTATTTCGGGCGCCACTTAGGGTTAGAGTTATTGAAAATTTCGTTAGACATTCTTTACGGAAAAATGGATTTTCAAATCAGGGAAAACGTTGGGCGCCACAGTTATCAATAACTCACAACTGCCAAGCGTTGGGCGCAATTTCCACTTCTAAGATAATCCATAATTCCCCATATTTTTTTCTGTCAAAATTACTTTAGAAGGATGTGCTTAGACCTACCTAGCCTACCAGAGCACTCATCAAGGCGGCTGGGCGCCATTTCGAATTTCAAATCCATCGTTTATTATCCGTTATATTTTTTTAGATAAATTGGCTGGGTTAAATATGACTAGACCTAAATAGGCACTAATTACTTATTCACTTCCAAGATCAAACGGCTGTCAGAAGCTCTGCCCGCCATTGGGCGCCATTTTTTATTAATAATTTCTTCTGGAATTACTTCCACCGAAATTGCTTTGTGTATCGTTACAAAAATCAACCCGGATTTTGATGAATACTGCGTGACCCGCTGTTGGGCGCCATTGCCTTACATGTTCCGACCCTACTTTCTTTATCATTATATAAACAACATTGGTGTGAACTGGAGGTATCTAAATCCGAATAGGTCTTGGTAATGGTTTCTCTAAACCCATTTATGTAAAAAATGACAATCCACGTTGGGCGCCAATTTCTTACCTTCTCCCCTCCGGTATTTTATTGGCACAAATCCACATCAAATTAGGCTAGGATGAAAGCATCTAACTCCAATTGGACCGTAATAAACACTTTCAAGTGCTTTTCTTTGTAAAAATGTCATGACCCACGTTGGGCGCCACATCAAATATTTAAATTCGAAATTTCGATTTTCATTATATATCTCTACCTAAATAATTCAGGAGTGACATATCATTTTCAAGAGCTTTTTTTGTAAAAATGCCATGACCCACGTTGGGCGCCATATCAAATACTTAAATTCGAACTTTGATTTTCATTATTTTTCTCCAACTAAATAATCCAGGAATGATATCTACAAACCCCAAAAAAAGTTTGCCTAGATGATTTCTAAATCTTTGCGTGTTTAAATATTTTCCCACATTGGGCGCCAATTAAATGACGTAATTCAGTCTTTAATTTTCAAATTTATTTCCTAAATTGTATTTCCGCTATCCAAATAGACTTAGCTAGAACTACCTTATTCAATATTTTCGAGCCTATTATAATGCAACACCATAACCTCCCGTTGGGCGCCATTTCTGTTCCACATTTTGTCCCTTCATCCCTCATTTAATGTTTTTTTTTCACCATTCTTTTTACAATTATTCTTATATCGTATTTCGTTTATATTGCCCAATAATTGTTTTGTTTTATAGTATTTTTTTTTTCAAATTTACAAAAATTTTGTTTATAGTTTTTAAGGTAATTAAAAAAAAAAAATATATATAAATATAAATAAATTAATTAAGATAAAAAATTAAAAAAATAGTTTGTAAAAAATTGTTATTTTGTAAAATAATTGTAAAAATTGCAATAAAATATTGTTAAAATAAAATTTATTAAATAAAAAAAAAAAAACAATATTTTTCCTAGTTTTACAAGGAATAATTAAGAAGTTTGACATTCGCCATACGTTAAATTAAGAGGTTCCAGATGAACTCTTAACAAATAATAACAATAGGGAAGTTGGTTGTTATATTCGATAGGAGTTTATGATGAAAAATAAGAAAGTTGACATAAGACGTACTTCAAATTAAGAGATTCCATATGAACCGTAACGAATAATAACAAATGGAGGTTGGCAACGCTGCCAATGCCGCTTAAAATGTAAACAAGCTGTGTAACAACGCCTGCCTTCATGTGATCAGCTGTTTGGTGTATAGTAGCAAGTTGTAACTGATATATTAGGGGTTTGTGTTATATTTACCGATTTCTTTTGTTTGGAGACCCCCAATGAAATTCGATGGAGAATATTTTTTCCTTTACCATAATTTTTGTAGGAAGACGACTTTTGGGAGATTTATCGTTAATTTGGAAATAGATCAAAATATTGATATAAATTCAGTAGATTAAATTATAAAGGATTTTTCAGGGGTTTGTGTTATATTTACTAATTTCTTTTGTTTGGAGAGCCCCAAGGAAATTCGATGGAGAGTATTTGTGCCTTTAACACTATTTTTCTACAGAGACGCATTTTGGGAGATTTTTTGTTAATTTAAAAGTAGTATAAACTATTCCAAGAAACTCAGTAGATTAGATTAAAGGCGATAAATTTGGGATATATATTATATCTACAGATTTCCTTTGGTTGGAGACCCCCAATGAAATTCGATGGAGAATATTTTTGCCTTTGACACCATTTTTACATATAGACGGATTTTAGGAGGTTTATCGTTAGTTTGAAAATAACTCAAAATATTGATATAAATTCATTAGGTTAGATTATAAAGGTCTTTTCAGGGTTTTGTGCTACATTTGCTGAATTCTTTTGTTAGGAGACTCCCAAGGAAATTCGATGGAAAGTATTTTTGCCTTTGGCATCATCTTTCTACAGAGACTTATTTTGGGAGCTTCGCCATTAATTTGATAATGGTACAAAATAGTCAAACAAATTCATTAGGTTAGTTCAAAAACCGATATTTTCGAGACGTTATGTTATGTCTACCGATTTCTTTTGGTCGGAGACCTCCAGTGAAATTTGATGGAGAATGTTTTCTTCTTTGATATCACTACGCTAAAATTGAGTATTAGGGAAGGTATGGTCGTTTTATGGATCAAAGTATGAGTTAGGCCTAACAAATTGTCTAAACTATATTTGAGCTAATATTTTAAGGATATATACTACGTTTACAAGTTTCTCTTGCTCGGAGACCCTTGATGAAATTTTGTGAAGAATATGTTCTTCTTTAATGTCACCTGCCTTAAATAAAGTATTAAGGAGGATCTGACCATTTTTTCGAACAAAGTATCAATTAGACCTAAAAATACTCTTGGCTGTATTGGAATGGTCATTTTTAGGATACCTGTTATATGTACAGATTTCTGTTGCTCGGAGACCCTTGGTAAAATTGTATGGAGAATATTTTCCTTTTTGGTACCACTTCCCTAAATTGGAGTATAAAGGGGCATATGGACATTTTTTCGCAAAAAAGTATGAAGTAGATAAAAAATGGTCTAGGCTATATTGAAATCGATATTTTAAGGATATATGCTACGTCTACAGATTTCTGTTGGTCGGAGACCCTTAGTGAAATATTATGAAGAATATTTTCTTCTTTAATATCACCTACCTAAAATAAATTATTAAGGAGGATCTGACCATTTTTTCGAACAAAGTATAAATTAGACCTGAAAAACACTTTCGACTATATTTGAGCCAAAATTTCAAGGATATATGCTATGTCTACAGATTTCTTTTGCTCGGAGGTCCATAGTGAAATTTTATGGTGAATATTTTCCTTTTTGGTACCACTTTCCTAAAATGGAGTAAAGAGTGGCCATTTGGAGTAGATATGGCCATTTTTTCGGAAAAAAGTATGAAATAGATAAAAAAAATGGTCTAGGCTATATTGGAACCAATATTTTAAGGATAAGTGCTACGTTTACAGATTTCTTTTGCTCGGAGACCCTTGGTAAAATTTAATGGAGAATATTTTCTTCTTTAGGGTCACCTGCCTAAAATAAAGTATTAAGGGGGTTCTGGCCATTTTTTCGAACAACGTATAAATTAGACATAAAAACACTTTTCACTAAGTTGGAATCGATAATTTTAGTATATATGTTTTATCAACAGATTTTTTTTGGTCGGAGACCCAGAATAAAATTTTATGGAAAATATTTTCCTTTTTGGTCCCACTTTCCTAAAATGGAGTATAGAGGGTCATATGGCCATTTTTCGGAAAAAAGTATGAAGTAGATAAAAAAATAGTCTAGGCTATATTGGAACCGATAATTTAAGGATATATGCTACGTCTACAGATTTCTTTCGGTCGGAGACCCTTGGTGAAATTTTGCGGAGAATATTTTCTCCTTTAATGTCCCCTGCCTAAAATAAAGTATTAAGGGGAATCTGGCCATTTTTTCGAACAAAGTATCAATTAGACCTAAAAAACACTTGACTTAATATTTTTAGGGTATATGTTATATCTACAGATATCTTACGGTAGGAGACCCTTGATGAAATTTTATGGAAAATATTTTCATTTTTGATACCACTTCTCTAAAATGCAGAATAAAAGGACATATGGCCATTTTTTGGGAAATAAGTATTAAATAGATAAAAAATGGTCTATGCTGCATTAAATCCGATATTTTAATTGGATCCTATATTTAACGTCTACAGGTTTCTTTTGCTCGGAGACCCTTAGTGAAATTTTATTCATTTTAAATCTTTTTTTCCAAAATGTACACGAAATATACTACAGTAAGGCATTTAAAGTTTAAAAACTAAATAACGATACTCCTCGTAGTTTTATTTTAGCAAAAATCGTGGTTTCGAAATTTTATCTAAGCCAAAGAGATGCAATTTTTAGGACGACTCATGAGCAGCTTAGCACGGGCATCAACCGTCAGCATTGCCAGCTCAGAAACATTCAAAATGTTTGTTACCGAAATTCACCACACACTAAAGGGGAACTTAGACTCAATACATTATGTAGGAGATCCATTATTTGAACTCTGAAAAATTTGGATTTTTAATATTTTTCAAAAACTCCATATTTTTGATTTCTTTAAAAAAATAATTTTTAAAAAATCTACGTCGTTTATTTTTTCGGAAAAAAATATTTGTTTTTAAAAATCCACGCTGATTTGAATTTTTACAAAATAATTTTTAAAAGATCCACACTGCTTCGAACTTTGAGGAAGTGATTTTTAAAAAACATCCTCACTGCTTCAAACTTTGGAGAAATTATTTTTAAAAAATCTAAGCTGCTTCGAAATTTGAGGAAGTGATTTTTAAAAAAATCCTCACTACTTCAAACTTTGGAGAATTTGTTAATATTTTAAAAAAATAATTTTTAAAAAATCCACGTTTGTTAATATTTTAAAAAAATAATTTTTAAAAAATCCACGTTTGTTAATATTTTAAAAAAATAATTTTTAAAAAATCCACGTTTGTTAATATTTTAAAAAAATAATTTTTAAAAAATCCACGTTTGTTAATATTTTAAAAAAATAATTTTTAAAAAATCCACGTTTGTTAATATTTTCAAAAAATAATTTAAAAAAAATCCATGTTTGTTAATACTTTGAAAAAAAAATTTTAAAAATCCGCGTTTGTTAATATTTTGAAAAAAAATAGTTTTTAAAAAATCCATGTTTGTTAATACTTTGAAAAAAAATTTTAAAAATCCGCGTTTGTTAATATTTTGAAAAAAAAATAATTTTTAAAAAATCCACGTTTGTTAATATTTTAAAAAAATAATTTTTAAAAAATCCACGTTTGTTAATATTTTAAAAAAAAATAATTTTTAAAAAATCCACGTTTGTTAATATTTTAAAAAAATAATTTTTAAAAAATCCACGTTTGTTAATATTTTAAAAAATAATTTTTAAAAAATCCACGTTTGTTAATATTTTAAAAAAATAATTTTTAAAAAATCCACGTTTGTTAATATTTTAAAAAAATAATTTTTAAAAAATCCACGTTTGTTAATATTTTAAAAAAATAATTTTTAAAAAATCCACGTTTGTTAATATTTTCAAAAAATAATTTAAAAAAAATCCATGTTTGTTAATACTTTGAAAAAAAAATTTTAAAAATCCGCGTTTGTTAATATTTTGAAAAAAAATAGTTTTTAAAAAATCCATGTTTGTTAATACTTTGAAAAAAAATTTTAAAAATCCGCGTTTGTTAATATTTTGAAAAAAAAATAATTTTTAAAAAATCTACGTTTTTGCATTCTGTAGAAAAATATTTTTTAAAAAATCCACGTTTTTGCATTCTGTAGAAAAATATTTTTTTAAAAAATCCACGTTTTTGGATTCTGTGAAAAAAATAATTTTTAAAAAAATCCACGTTGCTTCGAACTTTGAAAAAATATTTTTTTAAAAAATCCACGTTTGTTAATACTTTGAAAAAAAATTAAAAAATCCACGTTTGCTAATACTTAAGAAAAATATTTTTTAAAATATCCAAGTTTTTGGATTCTGTAGAAAAATATTTTTTAAATAATCCACGTTTTTGGATTCTGTGAAAAAATAATTTTTTAAAAAATCCACGTTTTTGGATTCTGTAGAAAAATATTTTTTAAAAAATCCAAGTTTTCGGATTCTGTGAAAAAATAATTTTTTAAAAAATCCATGTTGCTTCGAACTTTGAGAAAATTTTTTTTAAAAAATCCACGTTTGTTAATACTTTAAAAAAATAATTTTTAAAAAATCCCCGTTTGCTAATACTTTGAAAAAATATATTTTTTTTAAAATCCACGTGGGTTAATATTTTGAAAAAATATTTATTTTAAATCCACGTCGGTTAATATTTTGAAAAAATATTTTTTTTTAATCCAAGTCGGTTAATACATTGAAAAAATAATTTTTAAAAAATCCACGTTTGTTAATACTTTGAAATAATAATTTTTAAAAAATCCCCGTTTGTTAATACTTTCAAAAAATAATTTTTAAAAAACCCACGTTTGTTAATACTTTGAAAAAAATATTCTTTTAAAAAAATCCTGGTTTGTTAATACTTTGAAAAAATATTTTTTTAAATCCACGTATTTAAATCATCGTTGGTTAGAATTTTGAAAAAAATATTTTTAAATATTATGTTTTTAAATGTCAGTCCTTAAAATATTTTGATATCACGTTGGGCGCCATTTCTGTCTGGTTTCGTGTAGGAAATCTTTTAATTAGATTTTCATTAAAAAAATAAATATGTTTTGTTTTATTGAATTTCTGTATAAAAAACTTATTTACAATTTAGCTGAGCTATGCCTCCGCTGGTCTTAAGCCAATTTGAAAATAATCAGGCTACAAACTAAAATATTTACAAAGGAGAAAATAAATTAAATATAATTTCCAATAAAATGTAATAGACTCAATAGGACACTTAACCCTAGCAGTTGCAACTGCTGTCTACTCGGCCAGCTGAGCAGGCGATTTCCTGCAGATCCTGCAGCATCATCATTCTCTGTACCCTTCCACCATTGCCAGACGCCACCGAAACGCTCGGGATTGGCCATGGGATCGGAAAAGGCGACACGTGCGGATTCTCGGGTTTGTCTTTTCAGCTCCTCCACTTCCTGTGCGAGAAACTGCACTTGCAAAGGATAAAGATTGGCCAAATTATACCGTTCACATGGATCCTTGTCCAGATTAAAGAAACATGGAGCCTTCAGAGGTTCACATTTGTAGATTTCCTGATCGTAATTTTCACTGTTCACAGGACATGCATTCGTGGCCTCTGTTCTCAGCCTTTTGATTAGTTCAATATTTAGCTGAGAATTACCACCCAAGGCAGAGTGAACGGGCGATGATAGTATCTCTTGGGTATAAAAATTGGCCAATGGATCTGCCTCCTCAAAGGCAATATCACCCAGCCAGGTATCATATTGGCCAGCGAATGAGGAGCCATTGACATATTTCAAATTACCACGCATATAGGAGCTGTAACCGAAAACATCATCCAAAACATGTATCAATGTGCGGGGTTGGGGGTCATGGGCTTCGCTCAGCGATGACCACAGATCGACACCATCCAATTGCAAATGTTTGGGAATTTCAATGCCTGCCGCAGATGCCAATGTGGGTAGCCAATCAATGGCATGGGCCACCTGATTGGAGACATAGCTTTTCCTCTTTAACAGAGGACTCCAGATAAGGCCGGCGGAACGTATACCTCCCTCCCAGGGTGACTCTTTTTGCTGGAAAAAATAATTTTGAATTTGAATCTGAAAATCCCTTGTTTTTATAGAGACTGAAAACTTACCCCCTTAAATGGATAATTGGATCCAGCATTGGAATGTATGCCCACCGTGGGGGCTCCGTTATCCGAGTATAGCAGAATTATGGTATTATTCAATATGCCCTTATCCTTGAGAGCTGTTATGGTCTGGCCCACACTTTGGTCCAAACGGGAAACCATCGCTGGAATAAAAATATTGAAAAAATATTTTTTTGACTTCAAATTTTAAAAAAAATAATTTTGAAAAAATAGAATTTTTAAAAAAATATTTTTTAAAAATTCTAAACTGCTTCGAAATTTGAAAAAATATTTTTTAAAGAATCATCATTGCTTCGAAATTTGAAAAAATATTTTTTAAAAATTCTAAACTGCTTCAAAATTTGGAAAAATATTTTTTAAAAATTCTAAACTGCTTCGAAATTTGAAAAAATATTTTTTAAAAAATCCCCATTGCTTCGAAATTTGAAAAAATATTTTTTAAAAATTCTAAACTGCTTCAAAATTTGGAAAAATATTTTTTAAAAATTCTAAACTGCTTCGAAATTTGAAAAAATAATTTTTAAAAAATCCACGTTGCTTCGAAATTTGAAAAAATATACTTTTTCAAAAACCCACGTTGTTTCGAAATTAAAAAAAATAATTTTTAAAAAATCCAAGTTGCTTCGAAATTTGAAAAAATAATTTTTAAAAAATCCACGTTTGTGAATTCTTTGAAAAAATAATTTTTAAAAAATCCACGCTGCTTCGAAATTTGAAAAAATATTTTTTAAACATTCTAAATAGCTTCGAAATTTAAAAAAAAATAATTTTTAAAAATTCTAAATTGCTTCGAAATTTAAAAAAAAAATAATTTTTAAAAATTCTAAACTGTTTCGAAATTTCAAAAATAATTTTTAAAAAATCCACGTTTCTTCGAAAATTGAAAAAATAATTTTTAAAAATTCTAAACTGCTTCGAAAATTGAAAAAATAATTTTTAAAAATTCTAAACTGCTTCGAAATTTAAAAAAATATTTTTCAAAACATCCACGTTGCTTCGAAATTTGAAAAAATTATTTTTAAAAAATCCACAATTGTTGATACTTTGAAAAAATAATTTTTAAAAAATCCACGTTTGTTGATACTTTGAAAAAATAATTTTTAAAAAATCCACGTTGCTTCGAAATTTGAAAAAATAATTTTTAAAAAATCCACAATTGTTGATACTTTGAAAAAATATTTTTTAAAAAATCCACAATTGTTGATACTTTGAAAAAATTTATTTTTAAAAAAAATCCACGTTAGTTAATACTTTGAAAAAATAATTTTTAAAAAATCCACGTTTGTCAATACTTTGAAAAAAAAAAATTTTTAAATCCACGTTTGTTGATACTTTGAAAAAATAATTTTTTAAGAATCCACGAATGTAGATTCATTAAAAAAATATTTAAAAAAAATCCACGTTAGTTAATTCTTCAAATAAATATTTTTTAAAAATCCACGATTGTTAATATTTGAATAAAATAATTTTTAAAAAATCCAAGTTTGTTAATATTTTTAAAAAATAATTTTTAATAACTCCACTTTCTTTGAATTTTTTGAAAAAATAATTTTTAAAAAAATCCACATTTTTGAATTCTTTAAAAAATATATTTTGCAAAAATACTCACCTGCATATGCCCTCCTCTTGGGATCCTTGATATATTGATATTTTTCCAAATCTTCCTCCAGCACATCCATGGGACTATCCTCATTGCCCGTGTGCACAGCCAAATGGCTCATTAGCAAAAAGAGTGGCCGTTCCACGTTATGATCCTCAATTATGCGTACAGCTTCCTGCGTAAATAGGTCCGTGGCATAGACGCCATTTACCTCTGGCATTGGTTCCAAATCATTGCGCAGATCCAGACCAGAAATATTTTTTTGCTAAAATTAATTTTTAGATTTCAAAAACCAGAAATTAGGAAAAATCCAAATTCTTTTTTACCAAAATTTTCAGGGTATGATCAAAATAACCAATATAACCCGAATAGTAACCGTAATGGTGATCGAAACCCCGATATAGCGGTGTCATTTCCTTGTCATAGAAACCCAAATGCCATTTACCCACTAAATTTGTTGAATAGCCGGCATCGCGGAATATTTCGGGCATTAGATGCTCTTCGAGCGGCAGACCCCAGGGTTCATCGTTGATAATCACAAAGTGTTGCATACCTAAAAGGCGCAAATAACTATTAATAGTTATCGATTCAAATGGGATGTAATTTTTGGAATAAACAACGAAAAAATCTCCTCGAGTATTTTTTAAATTTTTATGGATAAAATTTGCCATGAATGTAAGGATTACAAAGTGTTGCATACCTAAAAGGCGCAAATGATTTTTCCTATTAAATTCAAGCTATCTTCTTCATATTTACCTGTGTGTATTGGATATTTCCCCGTCAGCAGTGAAGCTCTCGAGGGGGTACACAAATTCGGAACATAGTGCTTGTTTAGGATTATACCATTATAGGCCAGGGCATCGATATTGGGGGTTATAAATTGATTCGAACCATGGAAGCTGACATCATTGAAACCCTGGAGGGGAAGAGAAAAAATGCGAATTTAAAAGAAGGATAAATTAATGTTACGAAAATTTATAATTTTACGGAAATTTATTAAAAATGGGATTTTTCAAAAAATTCCCAAAAAAGGAAAATTTTATAACAATTTTTCAAAAAATAGAAATTTTTCATAAAATGTTCATAAAATAATTTTTATTTTTTTGACATTATTTGAAATGTATTTTTCGCATAGACCTCAAAAATTAAAAAAAAATCGTAGAAAAATTCCCTCGAAGGGAAATATTTAAAAATGACCAAGAATATTAATTTCTCAGATATTTTTTAATATTTAGATGAAAAACATAAATTTTTTACGAAAACAAAAATTTCCCTAAAAAATTCCGAAAAAAAGAAAATTTCTCAAAAAAATTCCCAAAAGGGAAATTTTTGTTTTCTACCATGATTTCATTTACTTTTTGGCGTAGATTGTTAAAATAAAAGCATTTTCTAAAATTTCCCAAAAACAAATATTTCCCTCCAGGGGGAATTTTTAAAAATTACCAAAAATGTTAATTTCTTAGAATTTTTTTACTATTTTTATGAAAAATGTAAAATTTTGGCGAAAACCAAAATTTCCCTAAAAAATGCCCTAAAAGGGAAATTTCTTTAAAAAAATCCCAAAAGGGAAATTTTTGTTTTCTACCATAATTTCATTTACTTTTTTGCGTAGATTGTAAAAATAAACGAATTTTGTAAAAGTTTATAAAAAATAATAATTTCCCTCGGAGGGAATTTTTTAAAAATGACTAAAAATTAAAATTCCTTTCATATTTTTTAATGTTTTGATGAAAAAAATTAGATTTTAGCGAAAACTAAAATTTTCCTAAAAAATTCCTAGAAAGGGAAATTTTTAAAAAAAAAATCCTAAAAGGGAAATTGTTGTTCTCCATCATTATTTCATTTACTTTTTCGTGTAGATTGAAAAAATAAAAGCATTTTCTGAAATTTCCCAAAAACACAAAATTTCCCTCGGAGGGAATTTTTTAAAAATTACCAAAAATTAAAATTTCTTTCATATTTTTTAATGTTTTGATGAAAAAAATAAAATTTTAGCGAAAACAAAAATTTCCCTAAAAATTTCCCAAAAACGGAAATTTCGCAAAAAAATTCCCAAAAGGGAAATTTTTGTTTTCCATCATTTTTTCGTTTACTTTTTCGTGTAGATTGCAAAAATAAAAGCATTTACTAAAATTTCCCAAAAACAAAAATTTCCCTCGTAGGGAATTTATTTAAAAATGAACAAAAATTAAAATTCTTTTCATATTCTCTAATGTTTTGATGAAAAAAATTAAATTTTAGCGAAAACTAAAATTTTCCTAAAAATTTCCCAAAAAGGGAAATTTCTCAAAAAAAAAAAAAAAAAAATCTTAAAAGGGAAATTTTTGTTTTTCGTCTTTTTTTCATTTACTTTTTCGCGTAGATTGCAAAAATAAAATCATTTTCTAAAATTTCCCAAAAACAAAAATGTCCCTCGGAGGGAATTTTTTAAAAATGACTAAAAATTAAAATTCCTTTCATTATTTTTAATGTTTTGATGAAAAAAATTAAATTTTAGCGAAAACTAAAATTTTCCTAAAAAAATCCTAAAAAGGGAAATTTAAAAAAAAAATCCTAAAAGGGAAATTGTTGTTCTCCATCATTATTTCATTTACTTTTTCGTGTAGATTGCAAAAATAAAAGCATTTACTAAAATTTCCCAAAAACAAAAATTTCCCTCGGAGAGATTTTTTTTTTAAAAATGACCAAAAATTAAAATTGCTTTCATATTTTTTTAATATTTTGATAAAAAAAAAATTTTAAAAAATTCCCAAAAACGGAAATTTCGCAAAAAAAAATCGCAAAAGGGAAATTTTTGTTTTTCACCATTTTTTTATTTACTTTTTCGTGTTGATTGCAAAAATAAAATAATTATCTGAGATTTCCCAAAAACAAAAATTTCCCTAAAAAGGAATTTTTTTTAAATGACCCAAAAAATTTTTTTTTTAATATTTTTTAATATTTCGACGAGAAAAATAAAATTTTACCAAAAACAAAAATTTCCCTAATATTTTCAAAATTATAATTGTTTTCTACAAAGATTTCATTTACTTTGTCGCGTAGATTGTAAAAATAAACAAATTTTGTAGAAATTCCCAAAAACAATAATTTCCCTCCAGGGGAAATTTCCCTTCAGGGGAAATTTTTAAAAATGACCAAAATTTTAATTTTCTTGGATATTTTTTATTATTTAGATGGATAATGTAAAATTTTGGCGAAAACAAAAATTTCCCAAAAAGGGAAATTTCTCAAAAAAATCCCCAAAAGAGGAAATTTTTGTTTTTCACCATATTTTTATTTAATTTTTCTTGTAGATTGCAAAAAAAAAGAATTTTAGAAAAATTCCCACAAACAAAAAATTTCCCTTGAAGGGTAATTTTTGTTAATGCTCAAAATTAAAATTTTTTTTCATATTTTAAAATATCCAGATGAAAGATGTAAAATTTCATTGAAAACAAAAATTTTCCGAAAAATATCCCAAAAGGGAAATTTTCTTTTTTTACAATTTTAACTTATAATTACCCTCGAAGATCCCCAAAATTAAAGAACTTCGACAAAATTCATTTATTCATTTTCCTTAAAGGGAAATTGTTGTTAAGGGCGGAATTTAGAAAATTTGGAATAAAAAAAATATTTTTAAGAAATTTGTATTTTTTGTTTAAACTTATTTTTAATTTTCAAATTATTCCAATTTTTTTTAAATTGAAAATCTTTAAAAAAAAAAATTTAAAGTTTTGAATAACTTCACAAATTGAGAAAAGTCTCAAAATCTCTCCCCCTCCAACTTACCATATCATCGATGAGAATAATGACAATATTCGGTTTCTCACTTTGTCTGCGTTGACGGGCCTCCACAGCGCTAGCCATGCAGGCGATGACCACAAGCAGTAACAGCAACCGGCCCCTCCAACAACAACAGCTATACATTTTCAGATGACTCATATTCTAGGCCGGCACCAGCAACCGTACCACAATAATAGCTCGAACTAGTTTCAAGTTCAATAACGGTTGGGGGTTTTTCCTACAACGCCACAGAGAGAAGCCCTAAAATAATTCTTGGTTAAAATATGTAACCGGTTACAGGTGTCATCAGCAATTCTTCCTTCTTTTTAATGGCTGTCTTTGTTTAGATTTTTTTTTTTGCGAAATTGAGATGAGTGATGTGTTTAATGTTTAACTTTAATTGCCAAAGAAAACTGAAAGTGAATGAGAACAGGAATTTGATTAGCAAAACAAAAGAGGGATTGAATCAGTAGATGAAGGTTTTCATAGAATGCCGTTTTGGGACAATTTTTTGTTTTTGGCGAAAAAATTGATATTGACGTCATTTGAGCGATTTGGTGTCAATGAAAGAAATATTCAGCACCAAATTTTACTATAAGGTCCAGATGAAACGAAACTTGTATATACAATATCTGTTGTTAAAAATGTCCCGTTATTTTGATACAAAAACTACATTTTTGGGCATTTTTATATATGTTTTTGATATTAGCCCAAAATCGGCCATAAATCTTGGATTTAGCAAGTTGGTATAAAGGAAAAAATTATTCTTTATAAAATGTTACTATGGGCCACCAACCGAGAGAAATGTCTACATATAATATTTACTATGAAAATAGGGGTCTCAACTTGTAGCCGTTTTGGGCCATTTTTGGTTTTAGTCGAAAAAATGGCAATTTATACAACTTGACGTCATTTAAGCAACTTGGTGTCAATGAAAAAAATATTCAGCATCAAATTTTACCTTAAAATCCAGAAGAAACGAAGCTTGTAGATATAATACTTGTTGTGAAAAATATCCCTTTTTTGGTACAAAAACTACTTTTTTGGGAATTTTTATATATGTTTTTGAAGTTAGGTCAAAATCATCTATAAATCTTGAATTTAGCAAGTTCGTGTAAAGGAAAAAAATATTCTTCATCAAATTCTATTATGTGTCTCCGACCAGGAGAGATTTCTTAATATAATATTTATTAGGTATATTTATTTAGGTATATAAGTAAAAAAATTGAATTTTAAACGCAAATTTTGACTTTATTCGTAAAAATATCAATTTGACTCGTTTAACCTCGTTTTGAAGGCTTGGTATCAATGGATCAAATATTCTACATTAAATTTCATTAATAGTTGCTGAAGAAATAAATTGTGTAGATATAGTAGTTATGGGTGAAAAATGATTGCAAATTTGGTAAAAATACCCAAATATTCATTTTTGGTCGATTAGATACATTTTTGATTTTGACTCAAACTTTCGTTTAAAATAGATTTAGGGCATTGATGTTAAGAAGTAAAATATTCTCCATCAAATTCTACTATGGGTCTCCGACCAGAGGAAACTTCTTAATATAATATTTATTAACAAAATAGGGGTTGAAATATAGGTATATCAGAAAATAGTTCAAGTTTAAAAGCAAATTATGCCTTTATTCGTAAAAATTTCAATTTGACCCGTTGAACTTCATTTTGGAGGCTTGGTATTAATGGACCAAATATTCTACATTAAATTTCATTATGAGTTGCTGAAGAAATAAATTGTGTAGATATAGTAGTTATGGGTGAAAAATGTTTGCAAATTTGGTAAAAATACACAAATATTCATTTTTGGTCGATTAGATACTTTTTTGATTTTGACTCAAAATTTCGTTCAAAACATGGATTTAGGCGGATGGTGGTAAGAGAAGAAATATTCTCCATCAAATTCCCCTATGGGTCACTCACAAAGAAAAAACTCTAGATACCATATTTATCAACGAAAAAGGAAGATCAAATTGGGGTATATAACCCAATTTTCATATATATATATATTTCTTGGCCTAATTCATTTATTATCCAGTACAACGTCAATTTGTGATCACATTCTCCAATCTTGAGACTTGGTACCAATGAGAGAAATATTCTTCATCAAATTTCACTATGAGTTGCTGAAAATACGAAATTTGTAGCCATAAAAATTATCGATCAAAATTGGATAGTAATTTTGGTATGAAGTGAAGAATCATTTTTGGTAATTTTCACACATTTTTAATATGGACCCAAAATGTCCCATAAAACATGGATTTACGGGGTTGGTGGTAAAGAGAAAAATATTCTCCATCAAATTCTGCTATGGATCACTGACGAAGAGAAATCTGTAGATAAATTATTTATTGGGAATATTGCTGTTACAATTTGGGCATATAAGTAATGTTCATATACTTATTTTTTGGCCTAATTTTTACTTTATCCCTGAAAATCTCAATTTCTCTAACTATACTTCAATTTAGGGACTTGGACCCAGTAAAAGAAATGTTTTACGTCCAATTTCATTATGAGTTGCCGAAGAATCAAAATTCGTTACTCTAATAACTATCAATAAAAATGAGTTGCAATTTTGGTTATCAAATTAAGATTAATTTTGGTCAATTTCACACATTTTTGATATGGACCCAAAAATAAAGAGAAAAATATTCTTCATCAAATTCTTCTATGGGTCACTGACGAAGTGAAATCTGTAGATAAAATATTTATTAAGAATATTGCCGCCACAATTTGGGCATATTGATAATATTCATTAAGCTTTTTTTGGCCCAATTTTAATTTTATCCTAAAAAATCTCAATTTGTCTTGTTATACTTCAATTTAGGGACTTGATGTCAATGAAAGAAATATTTTACGTCCAATTTCACTATGAGTTGGTGAAGAAACAAAACTTGTAACTCTAATAGTTATCAATTAAATTGAGTTCCAATTTTGGTATTAAATTTAATATTAATTTTTGGTCAATTTCACACATTTTTGGATTTTGACCCAAAATGTCGCATAAAACATGGATTGACGTGGTTGGTGTTAAAAAAAAATATATTCTCCATCAAATTCTACTAAATTCTGATGAAGAAAAATATGTAGATATAATGTTTGTTAAGAATATTGAATATTATAATTTGTCCATATAAATAATGTTCATATATCCATTTTTTGGCCTTATTTTAATTTTATCCCAAAGAGTCTCAATTTGTATTACTATACTTCAATTTAGGGAATTGGACCCTATGAAAGAAATATTTAACGTCCAATTTCCCTATAACCTGCCGAAGAAACAAAATTTGTAACTCTAATAGTTATCGCTAAAAATGAGTTGCAATTTTGGTATTAAAATTAATATTAATTTTTGGTCAATTTTACATATTTTTGATTTTGAGCCAAAATGTCCCATAAAACATGGATTTACGGGGTAAGTGGTAAAGAGAAAAATATTCTATATCAAATTCTACTATGTGTCACTGACGAAGAGAAATCTGTAGGTAAAATATTTATTAAGAATGATGCCGTTACAATTTGGGCATACAAATAATATTTCATATTTTAATTTTTTTGTCTTTATTTTAATTTTTTCTTAAAAAATCTCAATTTGTCTTGTTATACTTCAATTTTGGGACTTGGTGTCAATGAATAAAATTTTCTACGTCCAGTTTTACTATGAGTTGCTGAAGAAACAAAATTTCTAACTCTAATAGTTATCAGTAAAATTGAGTCCCTATTTTGGTATTAAAAGTAGGTATTAATTTTTGGTCAATTTTAAACCTTTTTGGTTTTGGCCCAAAATTTCCATTAACAGTTAGATTTAGAGGGTTTACGGCAAAGGGAAAAGTATTCCTTATCGAATTTCACTATGGGTCCCCGACTATAAGAAATCCCTAGGTGTGATATTTATCACTAAAATAGGGGTTCCATTATGGGAAATAAATACATTTTCGTTTATATGTTTTTTTAGGTCGAATTTTAACTTTTTTCTATAAAATGGTAATTTGTCACTTTATTCTTTAATTTAGAGACATGAAAACAATGAAAGAAATATTCTACGTCCAATTTCACTATGAGTTGCCAAAGAAACAAATATTGCAACTATAACAGTTTTCGTTAAAAATAGCTGGTAATTTTGGTATACAAATAAGTATTAATTTTTGGTCAATTTTATGCATTTTTAATAATGCCCAAAAATTACCCATTATACTTAGATTTACGGGTTCGGTGGTAAGGAAAGAGATAATCTCCATCAAATTTTATTAAGGGTCACTGACCAAATCAAATCTCTAGATATAATATATATACTTCAAACTTTGATTCCAATTTGGATATATGTTGAAAAATTCCTAAAATAAATTATTTTAATCAAATTTGAATTGTATTCAATGTGAGCCCAATTTCTCCGTCTATAATTCATTTTAGAGGATTAATGTCAATGAGAATAATATTCCCCATCAAATTTGACTATGGGTCACCGACCACAAGAATTCGGTATCTGTAATATATAAAACTGAAATATCACCATCAATTAGAGGATGTGAATAAAAAATTCTCAACACATCCACGCAATTTTGAGACATTTTTCTTCATTGATAAATTCTGAAATACCTCAAATTAAGCGCCTTTACAAAATTATTTGCAATTAATTCTGAATTCGTTATTGGGTAATCGAAATGTCATCAACAATTTTTTAAGCTCAGTTGCAGCAGAGTACTTTTTGCTGTGGGTCAAGAGCCGCATTAGAAAAAATTATTGGTGGAACGAATAAAAAGGCACTTCAATTATATCTCACAACATGTCTACAACTTATATACATAGGTACATATCTGTATGCAAATTTTCAAAAGTATGTCTTAATGAAGCAATAATAATAAAATCGTATTTCAAAATCAAAATGAGGTAAATATTTAAATTCTGCCGGGCAAACAAACCAGTGGCAGGGTATTGAGGCCATATAAATACAAAAAGTAGGCATGTTTTATTGTCAATATTAAAACAATATTGTTGATTTTTTTTTTTCAAAACACAACACGAGCTTAAATTTATGACGTCATTGAATAAATGGTTTTTTAATTTAGTTTTTCACATTTTTGCAACGGCCCTCGTTGTGGCCTAAACGGTGGCAAATAGTGCATTTTTGTCGGCAAATAATGTCTTTATGTAAATATTATTTATAATTAAGTGTTAAACAGGTAATTGTTGTAATAACTTTCTGAAATTGTAATATGAAGTGTGTATGTCTAAAATTTGCAAATAATTACATTTTGATGTTTATGCCTTAATTTTATTACAACCTGTATCCAGAGATAGGTCATGTCCAACAACATAAAATTTGTGGGACTAGGGCAAATTGCAAAAAAGAAAAGAGTTTGAATAGACGATGAAAATGACATTGTTTTGCTATTGAAGATAC